CATTCTGAACTCTCACCAGAATGTCTGAAGGTTCCTGTTGTTCTGCATCCTTATCGGCTTTTGTTATTGTCAATTTTTTTGTTTTTTTATTTTTGTAGCCATTTTTATAAGGAATAGTGTAATGTCACTATGGTTTCAATTTGCATTTTCCTAATAAGATGCTAAGCATCTTTTCATGTATTTATTTGTCATCCACATATTGTGTTTGAAGTGTCTGTTCAAATCTTTTACCCAATTTTTAATTGGTTTGATTATTCATTACTAAGTTTTGAGAGTTCTTTATATGTTCAGACCTCTTATCAGGTTTGTATTATGCACATTTTTTTTCTCCCAGTCTGTGGCTTATCTTTTCATTTTCTTAGCAGTGTCTTCCAAAGAATTTTAATGTTGAGGAAGTCAAACTCATCAATATTTTTTTTCTTTTATGGTTTGTGTTTTTTTGTTATAAAAATCTTCACACAACCCAAGATCACATTTTCTGTTTTCTTCTCCAAGTTTTACAATTTTTGGTTTTATACTTAGTTCTATTATTCACTTGGAATTAATTTTTATATATGATAGGAGGTATGAATCAGGAATGTGTTTTTAGCAAATGGATATAAAATTGTATCAGTAACATTTATTGAAGAGTATCCTTTTTCTACTGAAATGCTTTTGTACCTTTGCTGAAATAAAATTGACCATACATGTATGGATCTACTTTTAAATTCTCTATTCTTTGCCACTGATTTGTGCCCATCTTTTCACAAATAGCACATTACACTGTCTTGATTTCTGAAGCTTCATGGTTATTTTTCAAAACTGTTTGGGCTACTCTAGTTCATTTGCATTTCCATATAAACTTAATAACCAGCATTGTTAATTTATTCAAAATCCTGTTCAGATTTTTCACTGGGATTCCGTTTAATCTACAGAATAATTTGGGATTAGTTGATATCTTAATGGTACTGGGTCTTCTAATACATGAAAATTTTAGTTTTCAGCACACAGACCCTGCACATTTTTTGTTACCTATATACCAAAGTAATTTGTTTTTGCTGTTTTCATGTTTTTTAAAAATTTCAATTTCTAGTTATTCACTGTTAGTATAGAGAAATACTAATACTAATACTAATAACCTTGCTAAACTCATTTATTAGTTCTGGTAGTTATTGTGCAGATTTTTTGAGATCTTTCTGTGTATAAACTAATTTCATTTGTGAGCAGACATAATCCTTTCCAATCTAAATGTCTATTATTTCCTCTTGTTGCCTCACTTCACTGGCTAGGACTCCAGTATGATGTATAGGCAACAATGAGAGCAGTCATCCTTGCTTTATTCCCAATTTGTGGGGAAAATAGTGTGTCACCCTTACGTATAATACTAGTTGCAGTTTATCACAGCAGTCCTTTATCAGGTTTAGGAAATTCCCTTCTATCTCTAATTTGAGCAGAGCTTTTATCATGAATGGATGCTGGGTTTGTCAAATACTCTGCCTATGTATGTTGAGATGATACACAGTTTTTCTCCTTTATACTGCCAATATGGTGAATTATATTCCTGGGATAAACCACAGTTTTGTCCTAATATATTGTCCTTTTAATGTCCTGTTGGATTCAATTTGCTAATATTTTGTATATGATCATGAGAGATATAGTCTTTGTCTTCTCTTATAATTTCACTAAGCTAGTAACTATTCCCTCTTGTGTTTTCATAAAGAACAGAATTAACATTATTCCTTAAGCACTTGCTAGAATTCCCAGTGAAGCCATCTGGGAACTTAATTTCTTTAGTAAACATACAACTACTCAGATTTTCTATTTCTTCTTGTATTGGTTTTGGAAGTCCATGTCTTTTAGAAAATATATCCATTTTATCTAAGCTGTCTAGCTTACTGGCAAAAAGTTACAATTTTCCCTTGTTATCCTTTTAATTTCTGTAAGGTCTGTAGTTGTATCCCTTACCTTACTAAATTTTTTATTCATAATTTTTTTCAGTGAATTATCTTTAGGATATTTTTTAGGCATAAAATCAGTCATTTGCAAATCATGATAATTTTGTAGCCTTTCTTTCTGGAATCATTATCTCACTTCACTCTCCTGTCTACATTATATCAGAATAGCCCTTCAAGAGCAATGTTAAACAAAACTGTGATATTTCTATGCCTTGCCATCAAATATAACGTAGCTTTTGGTCTAATAACACACACAAATATACACATCCACTTTTACAAATTAAAGATACAGCCATCTATTTCTTTATGTGGAGCTAGAATCAGCAAACTATGTCCCCAGGCCAAATCTGGCCTACTGCCTATTTTTGTATATATAATTTTTGGGGGAAAAAACCCCACACACATTTATTTATGTATTGTCTCTGGCTACTTTCACCTTACAGTAGCACAGTTAAGTCACTGTGACAAAAGGTCATAGCCAAAAAGCCTAAAATATTTACTATTCAGCCCCTAACCAAGAAACTTTATTTTTCATCAAGAATGGGTGCTGGATTTTATCAAATGTGTAAACTTGGTTTAACTATTAAAATAAATTCACATTTTCCCCTTTAACCTATTTAAATGGCAAATTATATTGATAGGTTCCTAACTGCCCTGTATCCTAGAATGAATGTACTCAGTCAAGTTGTTTTGTACATGGGATTCTTTTGTCATCTATAATTTAGGATTTTTTAGTAATACTTATAAATGAAATTGGTCTAACAATTCTCTTCTCAATATCCGCTAACTATGTAAAAAGAACTAACAAATCCTGCTTTTTAAGTATTTCTTGATTATCCTTATTATGTTTGGCATCTCCTCTGAATTCTCAGTGCCTGTCAGGCAGCTGTCTAAGAACTTAGTCATATCTGGACTGTATTAAAGATATTTAACTTCAGTTCTCCCTCTGCTGCTTCAATACAAGAAAAACCATGTTAAAAGGCTATAACGTATCTTCACATACTACTGTAGTAGATGGGAGTGTGTTTTATATTAGGCATTAAGTATTTACTAATGTTTCTAACATTTTTTTTCTTGAGCTTACTAATCAGATTCCAAACTTTACATATGGTGAATCTATATTATTCATGTAATTTTAAAAATTCAACTATTACAATACATAATTTCTTTAAGAACCAAATACCAAAGGTAATTTCATAGGTACCGTATTTCAAAAGAAAAGCAGGGACAGCTTAATTAGTGCAGCTAAAGGGAAATCTGGTTTACAGAATATTACTCAGCATGTCTTATTACACATGATTCAGACACAAAAATCACTAATAAGCTATCCTCTGAATAATTCTAGACTGATTCAATAATTATATAGCTATATCACTTTTGGATAAGTTATTTAAATCTGTATGAGTCTAAACTTCTTTATCAATGAAATAATAAATTTGATGACTCCTAAAGCCCCTTTAACAAACAGTGAGGGGAGGTTGTAAATACGACCCATTTTCCCTCATTGAGTTGCAAAAAAGACTTTAAAATATTACCTCTGTTTCTGGAAGACATCTTCCTTCCTGCTGATTTTAATGTTTCTTTGTTCCTTTTTTTTCTACTTGCTTTGATCTGCCCTTGGCCAGATGCAGAATCAGAATCAGAAGAGTCAAGTTTGACTTGACGATGCCTTCTTGACTTAGACGCCTTAAGAGTTAGAAATCCAATTAACCACAATGAATCATAAATGAATCCCAAGTGACAGATAATTAAGGGAAAGACAAAATACATAAAGATGAGGAAAGATTTACAGAAATGGTTGACATGAAGTACCTTAACATTATCTGACTTAATTCTTGTCACATGTACATACTCTACCCATAAAACAGGAAAAGTTCCCTGAAGCTGTCATCATCATCTACTTATGCTGGGTAAAAACTTAGTTGTTGAGTTAAAATATGCTTGCAGTTACATGACTGGGAAATGGAAGTATAAAGGACAAGTACTGTGTTTACTGTCTAATACCATTCTCCCTTTCTCCTAATAATATTTTAGGCTCCTTAGTTACCACCAGGTGTTTCAAATGAACTACTTTATGTATGGCTCTAGGTATGGTCATGTGGCCCCATCAAGTCAAAATAAGTTTCACCTACCCATGGCCACTGGGATTTGTTCAGGGCTGGGCATATGATCTGTATCACAGCTGATATGATTCAATCTTAGAATTCTGTGTAACTATCAGGAATAATTCTCCCTCTGCCCTGAACCTAAGGTAGGAACATGCAAGACTGGAGCTGTCATGAACAGCACATGAAAACCGTGAAAGCCACACAAAAGGTGGGAAGTGGAGGGGCAGGTCAAAAGCTTCTCCGTTGCATCCAGCATTCCTTATTTGCTTAAGCAGAGTCCTGACTGACACAGGAATTTTCAGTTAAAGCCATACATGCAGTGCAGGTATTAACAAGTGTTAAAATGCTACAAAGCGTTGTCTACCTCAATAAAGAAAAACCCACAACTGGGCAGTAACACACCCTTACAACAATTTATGGGGATTATAATTTGATGACTTAATGATTTTAAAGTATTTCATAATGTTACATTATGATTAATCATAATATATATTAAACATCAATTAGCACTATAGTATGGAAATAGTTCTGGTTAAAAAGAATTTGGAATAATTAATTTATCAGCCTTGGTGCTTTCATTCAACAATAATTTATAGTCAGTTTACTGTGGCATAGTGAATATGAAACACTTAACTAATCTATAGTCACTTTTAATTTTTTATTTATTCCTTTTTATTTCTACAACCAGAAAATGAAAAGTAATTTCCTACAGAACAAAGACATTCTTAGACTCATGAACAAAATTCAAGAAAAAAATAAGGGATAAGGTATAAAGCACATAAATTTATCAGTGTTCCCTCCTAAAACCCCACCAAAATGACAGTAAAGGAATAAAAATGAATAAACTCACAACAGAGATAATAGGAAACAATGCAGTTGTAAACAAAACAATAAAATTTTGGAAGTGCAAAAGTGACAGCTTAACAGAATGAAGGAAGCTGAAACCTAATTACCTGAATTGAGGAAGGTACTACAAAGCAAACTGATCCAAGGGGATCAGAAATTGGAGTCATCAGAAATGAAGCTAAAAAAAATGGGTAGGTATACTGAAAATCTACATAGGTTACAGTGTCCCATTTCCCAATCTCCAAACTAAACAACTGACCTCCTATAAAAAATGGGTTCCTCTTTGGAGAGGTAATAAACCAGAGAAGCTGTAGGCTTGACGAAACTGGCTTAGCTGAGGAAGGGGATAAGTCCTCCTACTGAAAGTAGAGAGGGTAAGTAGAACCTGAATAAGGAAGGGTAAGTCCCTTGCCGGGGTGTGTAGGCTCCCTTATTGGCAGCCAGACTTATTTACCTTTATCCTCCACCAGATAAGGAAATGGAAGGTTGCTCTCTGGTAAAAATGACTAGATTCCAAGAAAAAGAAATACTGAGGTTAAAAAGCTGATCACCACATGACCCCTCTTAAATATGATCTGAGGACCTTCAAACATTTGAAAAAAAGCCTTCAAAATGAAAGACAGAAATCACAATATACAAAAATAAGAACTCTGAGGGGAAAGGAGGAAACTTCAAAAAACATTTGTTAACATTCTCAAATAAATAAAGATACATATTGCATCCAGAAAAAATATATGTATTTTTTAATTGAGACTCAGAGAAGAAGGCTAATAATGAAAAAATGTCAGCAGAAATAAAAAATTCAATGTAATGGTTCAGAAAATAATCTCCTGAAAATATAAAGACTGAAAAAATAAAGGTTCAAGAAAAGAAAAAGACCAAAAATGCGGCAAAGAATACTATCAAAGAAACAAAAAAAGTCCTCAGAACTGAAGGCTATCATATATAAAGGATGCCCATCATGAGAGCCAAAGACAAATGATGGGAAAAGACCTACACCAAGTTACATTACCATGAAATCTCAGCTCCTGGGACAAAGAGAGAATGCTAAAAATTTCCACAATCAGGAATACTAGAAGCTGGGCAAAACTAAAGAACAATGGCATCAAAATCCAGGTAAATACCAGAAGAAACAGCTAAAGAAAAAAAAACTGAAGATGGCTGCCTAATGAGATTAGGAATAGTGGTACAAAGTGGTGGAACAGGAGATTGTGGGCTAATATAAACTAGACAGTAGTATTAGACTTTCTAAACTATGTACATGTATTACTTTTATGCAAAATAGAAGTGTAATTTAAAAAGCAGCAAGTCAATTTCTAAATTATCTTACTAAAGAAATAACTTACCTGAGCAACAATTGAAAATGCTCTTGATTTTATTTTTGCTAATGATTCTGCCCTTTCACATCTCTGGAAGTAGAAATAAACAAAAAGAGGAAAAAGTTAAAGCATAAACATTAAGTGAAATTACGAGACTTGAGACAGAAGGTAGGGTAAAAGAAATGAACATTTCCTGGACACATGTTGAGTACAGACACATACACACACATCACATTCTCACAGCAGGTGTCATTAAACCATTCCCATAGCTACTGATGGTTTCATTCAGGATCGAAGGAGAATATGAACAAAGCCTTGGAGATCAGGCCATTCCACCCTTGTCTGCCTATAGCCAAAGACGGATCCTTGTCTCATCCACTGAGATGGGTGAAAACTCTGGAGGCAGGAAGTAGTAAATAGTAGCTTGAATGCCACATTAGTTGAAAGGCTGACAGGAAGTGAGAAAAGACATTAAAAAGCCTTACTCTGCCCCAGTGAGGAACAAGGGCACCTTCCACCATCACCCTTCCCTTTTCCTGCGTAAAGCCGTTATCATCCTCACTCCCAATCTACACCTGATGGGAACTTTCACAAGGTTTCCAGTAAAGAACAGACTAGCTCTTCAGAGAATGCATGTTTCAGAATTTTCTGAGATATTTATTAGAATACTGACCAAGGCTCATGTTTAGTAGACAGAATCACAGCCACACATGAAAAGAAGCTAACCAAACTATTGGCCTGTAAACAATCATACAGTGCATTTTTCTGACCTCTGATTCTTGTAAATTTCCTTCCCTCTTTTCTTCTCCATCTTTGACTTTAGATTTTAAGGATGGATCCTGAAAAAGCAAAAAAGTTATATATACACATTTACGATTCAAATTAACTAAAAATTGCAAACCATTTCAGAACAATGAGAACCATTTACTTTTAATTACTGAAAAACTGAAAGATTATTTCATGATATTGCAGCATGGTTTACCACCTGAATTAAGAGCATGGTTAGATTTCAGAATTATCAGTTTTAAAACTCATCAATTAAAATGCCTAAATCCTCCTAACTAATGAACATGCACTTTATGTGTTAGTAAGAAAATTCATATATTCTCTGTTCCTTCAGGTTTTCAGGGTCTTATTAATGTTCATTAAAGACAGTTCATTTATTACAAGAGTACCATAACATTTTTAGAGTAAGTGTCTGGGTCATTCATGTAACTGATTTGTAGCACTTAAAGTATTCAAACATTCTAAAATACACTCTCTTATTAAAATAATATTTTAATTTTATTTTAAATTAAAATAAAAGTTATTTCCTTCTGCCTAACATCTTCTCATCACTTTCCTTGTTTATCTTTTTTAAAGTTAAGTTTTGAGCCAGCTGCCTTTATATAATGAAAAGACAAAAAGTGACAGCAAATCTTTCTGAGAGACAATAGGTAAGATAATCATACCTACTTAGCATTTGTGGAAAACACTAACACATTATCAGATACAGAGAAAGTCATCAGAAATTGCTTATTTTTCACTTTTATTTCTTTCTAGGTATTTACTAAGATAGGATTGAGAAGTGGTTTCAAGGGTAAATTTAGCAAGGCTGGGGGAGTTTAGGTTTCCAGAGGAACAGCTTCTCTAGCTGTAAAGGTTAATGTGGAACATGGGCAGCTCTAGCATCAGTGTTTGGATCAGAAAACCAAACTGAATGTTTATATTGATGAGATCTGTAGCTAAACCAAGGCAGGTAGAGCTTGTGGCAGAGAGCACAGACCCTGTCACAATGGGAGAAGCCATTATTCAGGTCTTCTGTCCACTGCAATGCAGAAAAGTGGAACTAGTGTTACCAAACCTCTAATTTGGATGTCTGGAATTTTAAGTGAAGTCCACAAATATTTAAATATTAGCAATTAATTCAAAATTTTTAAACAATATTAGAATCAACACATGCCAAACAAAATACATGTGTGTGTAGGATTTGGCCCGAGGACTACCAGTGTGCAACCTCTGGAAAATGCAAAATTTTAAAACTTGTAATAAATCTGTGGTATACGAAGACTACTTATTCCTCTATAATTATATACATTTAATTATAAAATTACATAAATTTTTTTAAATTATAAAATTATATTACATTATACAATTCATATTGTAATTATTTAATTATATATATAATCATATATAAGATCCACCTGTAAGGATAAACAGCATCACTTAACTAGTAAGCAGGAAAGCTGAAACCAGCAAAGTAAAATCCTCTAAATCTTAGCTCTACAGGAATGCAGCCACTCAACTAGGCT